TCTCCCACCTAAGTTTTTGCAGTACATTCTGGTCTGCTACCAGTTATAGCTCTAGAAGAATCTGGATTAGCTGGTCAAGACCCCAAAGCTTCCAAAGCCTCTAGGAAGAATCTTTTATTAGGGACTATGCTATCTTTGCCCATTTGCTTCAGCAACTTCTGCAGAAGGTCCTTCATTTTGGTTTTTGTGAAGGCCTTATATAGAAGTTTATATGTAGATGAGTCTGGAATCACCCCCATCTCATGTGAATTCTGAAAAAGGGCATCTGCCTCTAAATAAAGACCATTCATGCAGTAAACTTCAAGCATTGTATTTAGTGTTGAAACTTTCAACTCTTTCTGAGAATCAAGAATGCTGTCAAATATTTCCCTGGCCCTAGAGACACAGTCGCAAAACCCATACATCATCATAAGACTCTCATAAGTGATGAAATTTGGTGTGTATTTCATGTCAGTCATCTTTTTGTAAACATATTCAGCTTTCTCTTTAAGCCGTGCCTTCCCATAATTTATGATCATTGAATTAAATGTAGGCAGAGTTGGCTTTTCCTTGGAGCGCAACAAGCTCTTCAATACTTGTTCCATCTTCTCAAATTCTTGCTTCTTCCCATATGAATCAATGAGCAAATTAAAAGTAATAATGTCAGGCTTACACTGATTACTTTTCATCCTAGAAAGAACAGATTCCATCTCTCTAATCATCCCATTTTTTCCAAATGCATCCATCACACCATTAAACGTATAAATATCAGGAGAAATAGTGCTCTCATCGAGATCCTTGAACAAAGCATTAACTTGATCCACATTTCGGGCTTGTGCAAAAGCTCTCAAAAGAATGTTGTATGTCACAATGTTGGGTTTCCATCGTTCCATTGACTTCATCTTGTTAAAGTAACCCACAGCTTTGTCCAAAGCCTTAGCTTTGTCTTTTGAGTGGAGGTGGGCTGTAATCAGAGCATTATAAACAGAAGCATCAGGCCGACAACCACTGTTACGCATCTCAGAGAATAACCACATTGCCATACGGGTTTGGCCTCTCTTTCCCATAACTGTAATTAATTTTGAATAAACCCCATTATCAGCAATGTACCAGCGTTGTTTCTGCATCCATCTAAACACCTGAATGAACATATATAGTATCCAAGTAAACAAGTAAAGCAATGACTAGCTTTGTCAAATATCTCTTCTTTTTGTAATGTCTTATTCACAATCAACATATAATAGAAAAAAAAAAAAGCCTAATGCTCAGTTGAATAACTTGTTTCTCCCCAAATTGTGACTACCCACTTCCACCATAAACCAAAATTCTTCACCTCTCAAGCTTGAAAATTGAACAAAAATGGAGAAAAGAGGTAAAGAGAGAACCAAACCTCAAGGCACTGAATCCATTTCTCAGTCTTCCCAAGCTCTTCAAAGAGAAGAAAGCAATGCTGACACCTCACAACCTTCACGTACTTGTCCAGCGTCTTCACCAGCGGCTCTTTCTCACTGAAACTCCTCGTGAGTACCCGAACCAAGTCCTGCGCTTCCGTTTCCCCGCCATTAGAAACCGATTTTCTCCTGGGTCTGGTCGAGACACATAATATTCGGGTTGATAGTTGGTTCCGCAGATTACTTGGGGATGTGGGTATGAAAATTTGTGAAGAATGATGCTTCAATGGAGAAGGAAGCATCGAGAGATGCAAAGAGAAAGGTGACAGAATTAGGGACATTGGTTTCCTTCTTGCTTTTCGCTGGTTCTTAGGAAGAAGGAAATGGAAGATGGTGTGCGTTTTCCCTTTGTTTTGGAACTGGAAACGAATGGATGGGGTTGATGAATTTACAGGAGCTGGGGTTTTTTTGCAAACCTTGTTCAATTTTTGGGGTTTTAGGGGAATTAACGGCCAAAAGGGAAAGGGGGGGCGTGATGGGATTGGGGTTTTGAACCCGACGTGAATCGAACACGCAACCTTCTGATCTGGAGTCAGACGCGCTACCATTGCGCCACGGATCCCAAGTTGGGAATTAGGCCTCTCTTTCATTAAATAACGGTTATTTTTTGGGTTCTCTTCCCCTCATCTAAAATACTTTTCTAATATTAACTGTCATTGAAAAATAAAATTTAATATTTATTTAATTAATTATTCAACTAAAATAATACATATAACATTAATGATAAAATTGATATCAACTTTTTTATTTTTTATATTAATTAATTTAAAAAATATATTAATTATACTCTTAATTTATGCCTTTAAATAAATTCATTTTTTTATTTATGAGTACCTATAAACTCCTATTAACAGTATAATTTAAACTTATATAATATAAATTAAGAATAGTATCTGTCCACTTTAACTTTTACAAATTAAGAAAAAAAATTATTTTATAATTACATAATTTTAATAAACTTTTATTAAAAAAAACTAAAATACCTTATTTTTAAAATATGAATTAAAGTATTTTTTATCATTTTTTACAATACTTTACTAAAAACATAGTTTTGAAATAATTTTTTCCTAATCTCTTGTAAGTAAGATAGATAACTACTAACCCATATAAATTTAATATAATTGGATATAATTTAAAAATTTAAAAATATTAATTTTCAGTGTCAATTATTAATTATTATTTACATTAAATTTATATTTTATGTGTTTTAATCACATAAATATGTTTTAAAAAATTGATAAAAAAGGTGCCCCTAACACTCTTATATATATATGTATAGATTGATTATCGACACAACAAGAAGAACATTTGCTTGACATTATTTATCATAA